ACCCTCATCGCCACTAGGTAGGATCTAACCTGTATCCTTGCCTGTGTTCAAGAATTGCTAAAGAATGGTTGTAAATCAAGAATTACCTGTAGTTACTTGTTTCTCTTTTTTTGTCTGTTGTTGGCCACTCACTTAAAAAAAAATAAGCCACAGGCAACAAATATTCAGTTTGTGTTTTAATTTTAATTTATCCAATTTAGACTTCTGGCACCTGAATGTAAATCAAAGCACAGTTAATTTGTTATCTGTGATTTTTCTGTTTTGGGAATGGTTTATACATGTAGTCCCAAGTAGTCATGGTCCTGAACCATATAAGACTCACAATGCAAGATCTATCTCTTACGTCAAAATTTGCAGCCCAACAGGGTAGACCAAGCCAGGAAATCAGCTGCACAAATCAGGATGCTCATAATATAAGCCCCACCCCCAAAATAAGCACCATTTAAGATCGTCAGCCAGATGAACACATAGTACCGTAGTACCATATTTCCCTGCAGTGGCGTAGCGTGGGTTGTCAGCACCCGGGGCAAGGCAAGTAATTTGCGCCCCCCCCTCCACAGTGGGCGGCGACCTGGTGGCTCGGATCGGATTCGCCCCCCCTCCACGGTGGGCGGCGACCCGGCGGCTCGGATCGGATTCGCCCCCCCTCCACAGTGGGCGGCGACCCGGCGGCTCGGATCGGATTCGCACAGCCAGCACTGCAGAGAGAGTGAGTGAGCCAGGCAGGGGCAGAGAGCTGCGAGTGCGAGCGCGCCCCCCCCAGATGTTGCGCCCGGTGCGGCCGGCCCCCCCTGCACCCCCCACGCTACGCCACTGTTTCCCTGAATATAAGCCCTAACCGTAAAATAAATCCTAATGCAGTGATGGCGAACCTTTTAGAGACCGAGTGCCCAAATTGCAACCCAAAACCCACTTATGTATCGTCGGGTGCCGGGTGGGCATAGCCCATTGGGTGGGTGTGGCTAATTGAGTGGGTGTGGCCCATTGGATGGGTGTGGCCCATTGGGTGGGCGTGGCTTCGGTAGTAACGGCAGACTGGGTAGGACTAAAAAGTTCAAACAATCAATTCCAACTTTGCGAGATCTTTTTTTTCCCCCGCGAGAAGTTGAAATTGATTGGATTGATTGAACCTTCTTTTTTTTTGCACACGGCGGCAGAGCCCTAAAGCGAAAAGGTTTTATAAAACCCAGCTGAAGGCCTAGGACTGGGGCGACGGCGCGAGTGCCCACAGAAAGGGCTCTGCGTGCCACCTGTGGCACGCGTGCCATAGGTTCGCCACCACGGTCCTAATGCATCTTTTGGAGCAGAAATTAATACAATACCCAGTCTTATTTTCGGAGAAACATGGTACATCTACAGTAATGCAGATAATTGCTTTAGTTTGGCAAGATTCTGTCTGTAGACCAATAATAAAAGAAATTACTTAGAAGTAACTCCATGTGTCATTCTTGGTTCTCTGGACCTCAGAGTCTATGCATTTGTAGGAACAGTATAGAATCCTCTATGGAGTCAGTTCTGCCACTAATGGATTAGACCCCCATCCTATCTGAATGGTGAGAGCTACCTGGGACATAATGGGAGGTTGGGCATGGGCATTAATGGATCTTTGGAAGAGCTGCCTTAAAAGAAGAGATGATGTTCCCCTTCTCAAAAAGCTTTCAATTAATCTGGTGAGTTTGGACAACTGTTGGCCTGTGTCTGAGTTTTTGTGGTGAGAAACAGCAGTTGCAGAGATCTCTGGATGAAAAATTATCTGGGACCTGGTCAGTTGGGTTTCACGGCTGGGTATGGGAATTAAGATGACATGGATTGTTGTTATGGATGACCTGGGAATTTGGAAGCCAATAGATTCTGGAATAATAATAATAATAATAATAATAATAATAACAACAACAACAACAACAACAACAACAATAACAACAACAACAACATCAACAACAACAACATCAATAATAATAATAATAATATGGGAATTAAGATGACATGGATTGTTGTTATGGATGACCTGGGAATTTGGAAGCCAATAGATTCTGGAATAATAATAATAATAATAATAATAATAACAACAACAACAACAACAACATCATCATCATCATCATCAACAACAACAACAACATCAATAATAATAATAATAAAGTTGGAAGGGACCTTGGAGGTCATCTAGTCCAACCCCCTGCTCAGGCAGGAAACCCTATACCATTTCAGACAAATGGCTGTCCAGTTTCTTCTTAAAAACTTCCAGTGTTGGAGCATTCACCACTTCTGGAGGCAGGTTGTTCCACTGGCTAATTGTTCTAACTGTCAGGAAGTTTCTCCTTAATTCTAGGTTGCTTCTCTCCTTGATGAGTTTCCATCCGTTGCTTCTTGTCCTGCCTTCAGGCGCTTTGAAGAATAGCTTGACTCCCTTTTCTTAAGATATTGTCCCCCCTCGTCCTTTTCTTCATTAAACTAGACATAATCCATTTATGGTTTTGGATGCAGTTGTGTTCTCCAATGTGGACTAATCTGCCCTGAGTCCTATTAACTCCAAGCTCCAGCTTGAAGAACAGGTGGCAGCTATGACCAAGATGATCTTTGTAAACTCCATTGTAGAATAGAATAGAATAGAATAGAATAGAATAGAATAGAATAGAATAGAATAGAAAATAGAGCTGGAAGGGACCTTGGAGGTCTTCTAGTCCAGCCCCCTGCTCAAGCAGGAGAACCTATACCACCTCAGACAAGTGACTGTCTAGCCTCTTTTTAAAAACCTCCAGTGATGGAGCATCCACGATTTCTGGAGGCAAGCTGTTCCACTGGTTAATTGGCCTCACTGTCAGGAAGTTTCTCCTTAATTCCAGGTTGCTTCTCTCTTTGGTCAGTTTCCAACCATTGTTTCTTGTGTGCACTGGTTGGATATGTTTCTGAAACAGAAGGCATTTTTGATGGTCATGCATATCCTTCTCATCTCACTCTTGGTTTATTGTAACTTGTTCTGCATGGGGCTGTTCTTGAAGACTGTTTGAAAGCTGAAGCTGATCCAGAAGCATATGTAGAAATGATCTTGACTCACTTTGCCACCTCTGCTTTGGGAACCATACTACTTACCATACCATTAGGCTGCTGAGTTCAATTCAAAATGTTGAGTTCTACCTTTAAATCCCATTATGGGATTTCATGTAAAGCTTACAATCTAGATAGCTCCAAGACTGTCCATCCTTTGTGGAATCTGCCTGATGATGATCCGTTCAGTCTTATCCTATTCTTGGCGATTCTCTGAGCCAGGTCTCCCCACTGTTGTGCAGGATCCGAGGTGTTGCTTGATAAAGAAATGCAGGAAACCCAAAGTTGCCTTTTAAGCTTTACATTTTTATTCAGCTGAACAAAGACGGGCCCCTCTAAAAGAGAGGAAGCCCCAAATGACAAGAAATCCTTATATTTATACTTTTTGATTCACCCAGCAAAGCTGGCACACATACGATTAAGAATTCACCCAGAAAGTCTAGCACAGCATAGATAAGGTAAGAGGAAGCAGAAATAGCTAAAGATGTTCTTTTTGTGTGTTTCCCTAAAGACACTGCATGTTCTCGGGTGACTTGGGACATTGGGTGTTTCCCTGGGGTGACCTTCCATGACTCTGCAAGTACCCAGAGATAGCGGGGCCATCCGCACGTATTCACAATCTATGCTTTCTCCTGATTCTGGGTCAACACCATATCTTCCACTCTTGCACTACTTCTTTGAGTTTTTCTATACTTTGGCTGGTGTCAGCTTTGATGGTGTCCAGCCATCATGTTCTTTGGTGGTCTGGTTTCCTTTTAAGGAATCTGCCTAGCCAGTGTGATTCAGGAAGGCAGATGTGCTACAAGTCCCTACTTTAAGGAAATAACAACACCCAGGATTTGGGGCTGAACTCTTTTGGTGATGGTGCCCTTCCTCTGGACACCATCTTCTTGGTAAAATGAGGACCCAGATTGTTGGGGGCAATATGCTGACATTTGTAAACCACTCATAAGTGCTGTAAAGCACTATGTCTAAGTCCTACCCAGTATTGCTATTGCTATCCATGTTAGTATGTTGGGAGGCTTCTGGAAGGCCTACACAGCGTGAGTACAATAGCTGCTCATGAGGTAGTTGGTGCCATGTCATGTGATGAGAGGAACATTAGTATAACAATAATAACAAGAACATCTGTGCATTGACAAAATTTCCATCTGTCAATTACAAAAAGCCACAATGCTTTGATCCACATGTATGTTATGCCAATACATTACAACTTTTTGGTCTTGAGAAGAACTCCATGTGCCAGATAAAGAACTGGCAACTGTAATTTCATGTTATTGTGTTTATAATCATAGTAATAGAAAACGAAGAAGCTAAAGTGCTTTGGGACTTAAGAATTCAAACAGGCACCTGCCACATAACATCCCAGAGTTAACAATTGTTGATAAGAAAAACAAAAAAGTGGATGTGGCAGTACTTGGAGATAGCAGAATAGAAGATAAAGAACTGGAGAAGATAACAAAATACAAAGACCTGCAAATGGAAATAGAGAAACTGTGGCAAAAGAAAGCAAAGGCAATACTATTAGCAATGGGCACTTTGGCTTAATCCCGAAACACTTGGCGCACCATTAAAGGAGAATATTTATAGTTCAGGGTTGAAATGAGGGGTCCTTGGTGCTCTCTGAGTTCGGCTGGAGCACCATTTGAACGGCATTGGCATTGGCAAAATCACCATCGGTCAATTGCAAAAGACAGCTTTTCTCAGAACATCTTACATCCTGCGACAATCAGGATGTAACACCATCAGACATCCACATCTGCCTATCCCAAATCCTTGAGAAAGACTTGATAGGTGGATAAAAATGCCAAATACAGTCCAAACATCTGGCTGACTGTGTGACCAACCATAATACATTTAAAGTACAACTTTAAAATAGTTAGGAAATATTTTTTTAAAAAAATAATACATAAATATATCTCTGTCGGGAAACAAATCCAGTACTTGACAAAGACATTTATTTTTCAAATGATCAAATAAGAAGGAGTAGTGTTTTCTTTTCCACAAGCAGTACTTCGTTTTCAAGCTGCAGCAGCGTCCGTAGTTTACCCCAGGACTTTCTTGAATGGCAATGCTAACACTCTTATCTGCAACATGTGACATAGCAGATGAGAAGGCACAAAATCATAAACGCCCATACCGCATTGGATCCATAATATTCTAAGGTATTTTGTGTGGAACTATCTTTCTGCCGCGGCCATGCAATCTGGTCATTTAGCTCTCCGATTCTGTGCTGGTATGCCTCTCTAGAAGAGAAAAAATGGGTTCAGAGACAAGGCACTGATTATGTCACTGCAGTCACCATCTTGACATTTTTGATCCAACCCCATAAATACTCCTGAAAGAGTTCATTAGAGTCTATTGATTCTCAACCTATGGGTCGCGACCCCATTTGGGGTCGATCGACCATTTCACGGGGGTTGCCAAGCAAGGCTGTCCGCCATTTTTTCCCCCTTTTCCGGCGGGTGCCTTACCTCCCTTGAGCTGGGCCAGCTGGTGGTCGGCCTGCTCCGTCTCTGCCGCTTGCCAGCTACGCCTCGGCCAGCGCAGGGGGCGGAACCACGCATGTGCGGCGCTCCCGGGCAGGGAAAGTCCTCGACTTACGACCTGTTGGGTAGTCCTAGACTTACAAACGGTTTAGTCCTCAACTTATGACCGGTTTAGTCCTCGACCTACGACCAGTTTAGTCCTCGACTTACAACCGGTTGGGGGTCGCAGCATTAAAAAGGTTGAGAACCACTGGTCTATTGATTGGACCATATAGTTGCCTGGAGATAACAGGACTCTGAACAAAAGATTTCCGTCCATGCTCTTATCATAGGTGTTCCTGGACCGTAGAATAGTTTCCATCTCTTATACCACTTTGTTTTATTTTATGTTACTTATTAAGCTTTTGATAATAGCACAGGAAATAATGGAAGAATGAAAACTTTCACAGTTGCAGGAACTGAGTATGTCTAGTTTAATGAAAAGAAGGATTGGGGTGATATGATAGCAATGTTCCAATATCGGAGGGTTTGCCACAAAGAAGAGGGGTCAACCTGTTCTCTAAAGCTCCAGAAGGAAGGACAAGAAACAATGGATGGAAACTTATCAAAGAGAGACCCAACCTAAAACTAAGGAGAAATTTCCTGTCAGTTAGAACAATTAAGCAGTGGAACCACCTGCCTCCAGAGGTTGTGAGTGCTCTATCACTGGAAGATTTTTAGAAGAGATTGGTCAGCCATTTTGTCTGAAATGGTATGTGTTTCTCAACCTTGACAATTTTAAGGCATGTGGACTTCAACTCCCAGAATTCCACAGCCAGCAACGCTGGCTGTGGAATTCTGGGAGTTGAAGTCCACATGCCTTAAAATTGTCAAGGTTGAGAAACACTGGATAGGGTCTCCTGCTTGAAAAGGGGTTGGACTAGAAGACCTCCAAAGTCCGTTACAACTCTGTTACTTTATTATTGTTCTATTATTATCTCAGTGTAATGTGTCTGCTTATATGAAAAAAAATAACTATAAAAATTCTCAAAGAGGAATGTCTTGACTTTGGGGTCTCCAACAGGGGGTCCAGACAAGATTGTGAATTCATGTGGAGACAACTTTGGAAAAACTGTTAAAGAAACAGTTAAAGAAACATGGAAATGGATCGTCAGGAAGAAACTCAAATTGTTTCTCTGAATTCAGTGAGAATATACAGTAAGAGGAGGGAAAGGAAAATATTGTCAGGCTCTGAAGATTCTGTTGTTATAACCTTCCCTGATAAATGCTTTCCAGCATTCCTGTGGAATTTCCTTCCTGACTTGCCTCCTTTAAGGGTTGATAGCTGTTAATTTTGTTTGTTTCTTTTCAGTTTGTCATTATGGCAGCCGTTCTGTAAATAGATGATCCTGTTCTCAATCAACAGATCAGAGGATCAGAAAAGATGAGGAGGCTTCAGCTGTGAGTCCCCTGCAGACACCTCTATTTGCAATGGTCTAAAACAGAGGTCCCCAACCTTTTGGGCACCAGAGACCGGTTCCGTGGAGAGAGGTATTTCCACAGATCGGACGGCGTGTGGTTTTGTGTGCTGCCTGCATCTAGCAGATGGGACTTTGCTTGTTTGTGTTGACTGGTTGCAGGATGCCACGGCCTGGTATGGTCCACGAACCGGGGGTTGGGGACCCCTGGCCTAAATTAGTTGGCAACTTTAAGATGTGAAGACAAGATGTGAAGACTTCAATCCCCAGAATTCATGCTGGCTGTGGAATTCTGGGAGTTGAAGTCCACATGTTTGAAAAAACTGAATTTGTAGTCTAAATTGAGCAGCTGCACCATAATTTGGAGCAGATGTTGATCTTGCAAGGGGATGTGCAAATTAAGGACACTTTCCCACAATCACTATTACCTCTCTACCCCACCCCCTCAAATCTCCCCAAACCCTCAGAGGTGACCTTCAACTGTTGTTGCAAGAATGGCCGATTTCTGCTCTTCCAGTTCCCACTACCCAATTAATAAAGGGGCACTGAAAATGGGCTTTGGCCAAGACTCCCTCCACTCTACAGTCACATTTGTTTGGTTTTTTTAGCATGGCAAAGAGCCAGTGTGCCTCTGGCTGTTTGCAAAAAGATTCATTATCTGGTGCAATTGTCCATTGGTTCTCTGCCAAGGGAGATTTGGAGATGGGTGTTACGAGAGAACCTCTGTCAGTGAAAAGCTGCCCACCTTCCAAGCCAGGTGGAAGTTGGGTGAACTGTCATTTGGGACAGCTTAAGCCAGACCAGAATAGGCTTGTAGGTTCAATGAGGACAACATCATTTGAATGTGCAGCATTGATTAGGATATGGAGCCACAGAGCCCTCTGTGTGAAAGAGCCTTCCAACCATTAATTCTCTCATGCAACCTATACAGCTGCATTAAAGGTAAGGATTTCCCCTTTCCAGTTGTGTCCAACTCTAGGGAGGCAAAGCTCATCTCTGTTTCTTAGCTGAGGGAGCCACATTGTCCAAAGACATTTCCATGGTCATGTGGCCAACATGGTTATACACCCAGGTGCATGGAATGCTGTTACCTTCCCACTGAAGTGGTACCTATTATGTACTCGCATTTGCACGCTTTCGAACTGCTACGTAGGTGGGCAGGAGATGCAGCAAGGAACAGGAGCTCACCCCTTCATGTGGCGCTCAGGTCTTGAACCCAGACTGACAAGCTGGGTTTTCAGCTGACAAGCTCAGTGTCTTTAACCACAGAGCTTTCGTGTCCTCTTACAACTGCATTAGTAGGATTATATTCTGACCTATTAAATTTGCTCAAGCAAAGTAGGGTGATAATTATTTCCTTTAATCCATTTTCCTGTAGTTGGGCTCTCCATGTGCCAGAATTGCCTCTAGGGTTGAAGGCATGGAATTCTGGGAGATGCCATCTCAAAACATAGGGAATTGCCCAGTTGAGGAATGAGAGTTCATTTTATCATTTATTTATTATTTATTTAAAAGATTTGTAAGGACTCCCATCTTAAACACAACTCTGGGTGGCTCACAACAATCAATCAAAGTATAAATTCATACACCATAAAAAGCTGGTGCCTCAGTCATTCCCTTGGCATGCCCCACAACCAGCTCCAGGTAGATTCATTCTGTACCTGTGCCTGGGTAGAGAGCCAGATCTTTATGGCTGCAAGTTTAGGTTGGGGCTTCTGCTTTGTTTCCAGAAAAGTGTTTCCAAGCATGAACAGAGTCCTGGTTGTAGTTTTTGAAAGTAATGACACCTGTTTCTCTAATACTCATGCAGCCAAGCTTCAACAGGACTTCAGGAAAAAAGCATCTACTTTAATGGATTGCAGAGAGCTGGGATGTTCATATCCCCCAAAGCACTTTTTTAAATCAGATCTGAAACTCTGCATAGTCCTAACTGATGTTGCTTTAATGTTAGGGAAAGTTTGGAAGATCAAAGGAAATACTGGACCCAGGAATAGTCCTTTTTCTTTTTAATAAGTTTAGCCATGTGAGAATGAACTGTGGAATCTAATCCCAGCCGATGAGGACCCAAAAGTAGAATCATTTATATTGTCATCATGGCCTGTGGTCTACCCTGGAAAAGAAGCAGGGTGTTGGAAGAAATTTCTCCACTTCCATGGAGGGAAAATCTATTAGGAATTACTAAACAAGATACGTACAATTAAGTCCACCTCCGCTTAGTAAATACTGTGAGTTTTTACTCTGCTTAGTTTTTACTCTGGCATAGAGAGGGCAACTACATTATTCATGCCATGCCATTCCTATTTATTATAATAATAATAATAATAATAAAGTTGGAAGGGACCTTGGAGGTCATCTAGTCCAACCCCCTGCTCAGGCAGGAAACCCTATACCATTTCAGAGAAATGGCTGTCCAGTCTCTTCTTAAAAACCTCCAGTGTTGGAGCATTCACCACTTCTGGAGGCAGGTTGTTCCACTGGTTAATTGTTCTAACTGTCAGGAAGTTTCTCCTTAGTTCTAGGTGGCTTCTCTCCTTGATTAGTTTCCATCCATTGCTTCTTGTCCTGCCTTCAGGTGCCTTGGAAAATAGCTTGACTCCCTCTTCTTTGTGGCAGCCCCTGAGATATTGGAACACGGCTATCATGTCCCCCCTCATCCTCCTCTTCCTTAAACTAGACATATCCAATTCCAGCAGCCTTTCCTTATATGTTTTAGCCTCCAGTCCCCTAATCATCTTTGTTGCTCTTCTCTGTACTCTTTCTAGAGTCTCAACATCTTTTTTACTTCGTGGTGACCAAAACTGGATGCAGTATTCCAAGTGTGGCCTTACCAAGGCATTGTAAAGTGGTATTAATACTTCACGTGATCTTGATTGTATCCCTCTGTTAATGCAGCCCAGCACTGTGTTGGCTTTTTTGGCAGCTGCAGCACACTGTTGGCTCATATTTAAGTGATTGTCCACTAGGACTCCGAGGTCCCTCTCACAGTTACTACTATTGAGCAAGGTACCCCCTATACTATACCTGTACATCTGGTTTTTCTTGCCTAATTGATAAAGAATCAGCTATTCATAAAGAAGAAACTTCGTGAAATTCCTTATTCTGGAATCCCTAATTAGGTAGCTGTATCAGCAGACTGAAAATGCTGAGCTAGATCAATGTTTTTCAATCTTGGTGACTTCTAGATGTGTGGACTTCAACTCCCAGAATTCCCTAGGCAGCATGATGCTGGGAGTTGAAATCCACACATAAAAGTTACCAAGGCTGAGAAATGCTGAACTAAATGAATGTCCCAGAAAAACTTTTAGGAAGAATGACAGCTGTATAAATCTATTTAAAAATATACATTAGTTGAAATGTGGTTTTTCAAATGTTTGGCTGACCATTGTATGAAATGGATGCTGAGCAGGATGGCATCCATTGGTCTAAAACCAGTGCCTTTGTTTTGTTCTTAACTTTAAGGACTGTTAGCAGCAGTTCCTGGCCCTTGAGACATCTTGGGCTCTAGGTGATTTTCCCTAGGAACATCTGGCTGGCTGTTTCTGGATGCGGGATATGAAGGACCTATGATTCCCACCAACAAGCAAAATTCTGTTTGTTACCTTTCCTTTATAAAACTATCTTGGTTTCTCTGTTCTTGTTCTATCTGCAACTGAAGCTGCGCTGTTTTATCTAAAAAGGAAAAGAAAAACATGATGTTACCCAGATGGTATTTCACTTCCACTTATACATACCTGCAAGACATAGGGAGAATCCATTCTTGCTGCATTACTTGTGTTCCTAGCACTCCATCTATTGGCAGTGCAGGCTAACATGGGGACTATAGATTGCTTCACTCAGTTTAAGCCCAAGCCTGTTGGCACAAAGGATCTTTTCCTTCTCCCATCTTACCATGCTGGAAGCCCTCTAGCTACATTATTCCTTTGCTATGTCATGTTGCCTTCACCTGATCCCCAGCCCATGTCATGAGACAGCTTTTCAAAACTGCTGACTTTTGAAAGAACCCTGGGAAGTGCTAAGTCATGCTAAAGAACACCAGAGTAAGTGGACCTGGGCTTCATGCACTTTTAAAACTGCCTATTGGCAAGTTTGGCTATTGAAGCAGGTTTGCAGAAATAAAGAGTGCTAAACCTATATTCTCCTGAAAAGCTGATAAAGCAGAAAGGCAAGGATCTAACCATCTATATAAACTTGCCACTTTAGAGCTTGTAGAAATAAGTGAGAACACTTGATGGCGCAGTGGTTAGAATGCAGTAATGCCCACAGCCTGGAGTTTGATCCTGACTAGCTCAAGGTTGATTCAGAATTCCATCCTTCCAAGGTTGGTAAAATGAGGACCCAGATTGTTGGGGGCAATATGCTGACTCTGTAAACTGCTTAGAGAGGGCTGTAAAGTACTATGGGGCGATATATATATAAGTCCAAGTGCTATTGCTATTGCTAAACTGGCAAGTTTTGACATGAAGTTCAGTGCAGAGCAGGCCTGGGTGCAGAGCAGGCCTACAGCAGGTCTACAGGCAAACAAACCTGTCCTCTCTTGTTTTGCTGTGGGCAGTAAAGCAGGATTAGCAAATTCAACCATTTGCCAAAACTCAGCAGTCCATGGCCATCTCACATTGCAGTTGTGAACTGCAGGTGGTCTCCCATTGTCTGGTGACATTCAGAAAGATGGAAAGCAGCAAAACCAGAGACATTAAATCAGTATTTCTCAACCCTGGCAACTATAAGATGTCTGGACTTCAAGTCTTGAAATCCACACATCTTAGAGTTGCCAATGTTGAGAAATACTGCATTAACTATTACTTATAGTAATGCTGTACAGTTTTCTGCCAACTCAAGGATGAGTGGAAAGTTGTTTAACCTGGAAGTAGAGAAAGTCCTGCAGCAGGACAGCCACATGGTTGTCCCTTACCTTTGTATTCTTCAGCTTTACTATCTGAAGACTTGAGTTTTTCTTCCAATGTGTTCTAATGGAGGAAAGAAAACCAATGCAAAATGGAATGATCACATGATTCTAAAATGAGTATTTTGCTCTACTTATTAGCAAACAACATGAATAAATAAATATTGTGCATCAAATGGTAATCAGTTAGATGTCTAAAATAGGAAATAAATGCCATGATAGCCACGATCTCAGAATTGCATATACCTATTGAGTTGGCTGGATAGATTTTTTTGGTATCTTCCAATGCTTATTTCTATCATTCTAATATGCTATGATTGTGTCCCACAGTTGCCAAATAGTTTTTCTTTCCAAATTATTTGGAAATTATATTTAAAAACAAAACGTTTTCATTCCATGTAATTCTCCATGTAATACTGTACACATGAAGCATGTAAAATAAGAAAAAAGATGCAGCTTACGGATCAGTTCCAAGATTTCTGAAGCTCATGTAAGTTCAGCCAAAAACCTTATGCAGTCTGCAAATTCTTCTATATATATTAATGTTTTTCATTCATTCATTCATAAACCTGAACCTAAACAGATATTCACAGACTGTTTTCGAACAATTTACTCACAAAATTTGGCAAAGCAGTGTGTTCTCAAATTCAGGTGACAAATTCAAGAGCATTCTCCAAGCTGGCACTTTGCATATATGTTGGAATGGCAATGCCCAGAACTCCAATACAACTAGTCCTCGACTTACGTCCACAACTGAGCCCAAAAATTCTGTTCTAAGTGAGATAGTTGTCCAGTGAGTTTTGCCCCATTTTACAACCTTTCTTGCTATAGTTGTTAAGTGAATCACTGCAAATGTTAAATTAGTAACACAACTCTTAAGTGAATTTGGCTTCCCCATTGACTTTGCTTGTCAGAAGGTGGCAAAAGGTGATGATGTGACCCCAGGGCACTGCCACTGTCATAAGTACATGCCAGTTGCCAAACGTCCAAATTTTGATTACGTGACCATGGGGATGCTGAAACAGTCATAAGTGTGAAAGACGGCCGTAAGACACTTTTTTCAGTGCTGTTTTAACTTTGAACCGTCATTAAATGAATGGTTGTAAGTCGAGAACTACCTGTACAAGGGGATTTTGAAGTAGCAGCCCCAGACCATCAAGAACAGTGGTCCCCAAACTTTCCAGCTTGGGGGCCTGCTGTGGGGGAAGGGAGAGGGGAATGGTTCTTGAGCACAAGCATCCACTGCTCACCTGAGTGGAGCTGTGTGTGTGAGCTAAGCGCCCGCCACTTGTGCAGCCTGGTTCCAAACAGACTGGTAGTGGGCCACAACCTGGAGGTTGGGGACCCTTGATCGAAAAGTTGCCAGGTTGGAACAATGGAGGAGGGCAGCCCAATGGCACACTGACATGTACTCCAGCAAGGACCTGCCAGGTGGTTCAGTAAGAGGAACATGAAAAGCCATGGCATCTTGGCAGGAAGAACACTTCTGCCTATTTAATGGTAGCTGTCCGAAGAAAGCCAATAGAATCCAGCTAGATGGGACAAACTAAGCCAGAAATGTCAAACACAAGGTACGAAGTGGTTTCATGTGGCCCACGAACCCATCCTGGAAACAGTGAGGGAACGGCCCCCTCTGCCTTCGCCCTGGCCCAGGCCGGCCGGGAGCCAATGTACAATTTTGTGGTGGCCATCTATGCTGAAACGCATTCAGTCTTAGCTCCATAAGGCCATCTAGAAACAGTGAGGAACCAGCCCCTGCTGTGTCGGCCCCGCCCCCTGGGTGCATGCTGGGGAGATGTCACCCTTTGTGAGGAATGAAGACCATGCCTTGGTGCTTGCCTCAGTCCCACCCCCTTCTGCCAGAGACCCTCAGATCTGTCCCACTCCTGCCCAGGCCCCCACAGGCACCCTTGACGCAAATGATGTAGAGCTGGCCATGTCCACCCAGTAGGCCACACCCACTCCATCCACACCCACCCAGTAGGCCGCACCCACATGGCCACACACACACACCAGAGGGCAACCGCAGTGCTGATGCAGCCCTCAATGGACACCCCTGAACTAAGCCATTCTGCTGGGTCCCAAAAATATACCATGTTTGTTTATTCTAATCTTACTTGACAATGAATATCTTCCCCCCACCACCACATTTACCAGCTGTTTCTGACAGGAATCTCTGAGCTCCTTCTGAGCATTCTCCAGTTGACTCTGCAAGCTTTGGGCTTTCTCCTTTTCCTTCTCCAGAAGCTGTCTGGTTAGTACAAGGGACTGGTTGGAAACTGACAATTCCTTGCTCAGGGCATCGGCTTCTTCTTGCTTCTTTTCCAAAAGTTGCAAAGTTTTTTTTTCAGTCTGGCCCGTAACACTTTTGAGCTTCTGCATCTCCTTTTCCATCTTGGCCAGCTGCTTCCTCAGCCTCAGGTTTTCCGCCTCCAGTTCAGAGATGTTGGCTTGGTCTTTAGGGCACTTGCAGTCAAGCTCTGGTGGGGCCCGTGAGCAGTAAATGATCAATAAAATTAGCACAATAACAATGACAGGGATGAGCCAAAAGTACTTTCTCACCCGTGTCCTAAACAAGTCCCAGGAACTGTGGTCCTTTAGATTCTCCGTGCACGTGGAACACTGACGGCCTGTTAGGAATCCACCCATGTTTGTTGAAAGCCGAGACACACAGAAATTCTGGTTGCCTCTCTAAGATTCTGCTCTCCTTTATATCTTGTTTTCTAAGTGGCCCAATTAGTCCCTCCTCCTCCTCCCCCTTTGGTGCATCGTGATTTTGAAGAAGTCCCTCCAGCAGTCAGATGAAACGAAAGTGATCTCTCAGCTCAGAGTTTTGTTTTTTTTTGTTTTTAAAAAAAGGCCAGTAAAAAGCAGTTTTCCAAAATGATGCCCCAGCTGGAGAAGGAGGAGAAACTACCTACATTCAGAGAGATGGCTGTGGTTACGCAGTGGATTTTCCCAGCCAAAGGGGAATTACAAGTTACAAATCAACCAAGTGTTTAAATCAACAGAACGATTTCGGTTTCCTTTTTTGTTCTGATTTCTGTTTTTTTTTTCGTTTTGCTCCTTTCTGAGTCATCAAAGGCATAATCTGTGCATCAAGTGAACCACAGCAGCAGCAGCAGCAGCAGTGCTAATCAACCCCTGACGAGCACCCGCCCATTGCCTGTCCTGCCCTTTGGTGCTTTGGAGAATAAATCAATACCCTCTTCCTTGTGACAGTTTTTCAAGTACTGGAAGACAGCTATGATGTCACCTCTGAGCCCACTCTTTGGAGTCCCTGAAGGCCTGTACTTAAGCCTCTTTGATGGTATGAAGACCCCATCATTTTGAAGAGAGCAAAGTCCACATTCTGGATAGAGAGGACCACTGATTTGGAAGAGGGGTAAAAGAATCCATCTATGTTAAGAGTTGAGCAGCCCTCTCTCAACAGAGGGGGAGGAATAAGACACCACCTATTTCCAGTCTACAATGCAGCCCTTGCAGCATTTCCAAGAAGATTCCACAACTAATTGCACCCTGATTCAGGTGAGGCTGAGAGCATAGATAAACCCCCAAATGGCCTCAAGAGCTCTCAGGGAGAGTGAAAAGGACAAGATGGCTGCAAAGAAATACAATCCTTTCACACATACCCCATTTTTTCAGAACCTATCCTTCCATCCCCCCACCATCAAGTCTCAACTCATGAAGCTTCTTGGATGAGAAGCGACACATTTTTTTTCATCCTCCTCAAAAAAAGAAGTCCAGCTGTTTTTTGAAAAAGCACCTTTGAGACAACCATGACGGGTGATTGAGAATCTCCAGACACCCCATCACATACTCCACCCAGGGGAGACATCCTAGTTCCCTTTTCCATGCTGAGGGCCAGCAGGTCAAAACTTATAATGTACCATTGGGATAGATCCTTCTTCTTGGGGAGTTGAAGCTTCTATCAACTTTCCACATTTTCAGGCATGTGTTTATATGTATTTGTGTGTTGGTTTTCTTCCCATCATGACTAGAGTTAACAGAGGTTGAAACTGAGACCTTCTGCATGATCAGAGTATCTTGGTCTTCTGAACATTAACACGAGAAGCCACCAAACTGAAGGGACCTTATTGTACTTATGATTTCATTATGCTTATGGTTTTATGATGTTTATGATTTTATTATGTTTAAGTTTGACATTAGTAGTGTTAGTTTGTAGCCATTTTATATAAATTTGCTTACATGCAAGCAACCTTACAAGTGCTTCATATCAGGAAATTATTTACATAAAAGCAAGTGTTTCGTGTATATTGAAAAAGCAATGTCTCATGTCAAATATACAGGAGATTGCTCAGGAGACTACTTATATGAAAAGAGCAAGGTAAGTCCAGTGGTCCAAGAAATAAGGAGGAGGGAGAGGGGAATGAGTTAGGGTTGGAACCTAGATTGATGTATATGATTCATCATCTTGGAATTTGTTTTTCTGTGCTTCCTTGTCCCTGGTACAGAGGCCTGGATTTCTTTGTTCTGAAAGAGTATAAAAGATAGAAGAAATCTCTTCTGGGTGTGCCTTCGTCCCTCTAAGCAGGCACAAAGAGGGAGACGGTTACCCAACTCTATCTTGGCCAAAATAAAGTTGTTTTCTTTGCTGGAACCTCAGCTCAGGAGTTTCTTTTAGCTCTTTGAAATTTCTGAGTAGCGCAGAGAAACAAAACCATCAGAAAGCAAAGAAAGTTGTCCCAATTTGACATTCACCCGGTACAGGTTATTAACATAAACAAAAGTTAACTTTATTTGCCAAATTCGATGTAACAGTTGGTGCAATGTAATGCAAGCTCTGGCAATTCCACTGCTGTGCCCAAAATCTGAGTTATCACAGTAGATAAACATCCAAGTCTGGCATCAGAATCAGGTTCCAGTCCTGAAGAAGGGGTATGGATATGCAGATGAAGTAGGGTGAGGCTTGACACTTCCCCACCCCACCCCAACTTGACCAGAGTCCAAATGGACTAGAGAAGGAGTCCAGCAAGGACAAGTGGGAGAAGGACCACAGAAGGCCCGAGGAGAAGGCCTCCCTCTGAGCGCTCAACAGGTTTATGTTGCATGAGCTGATCCTCCAGATGCTGAATCGCCTTTCTGGGGAAAGAGAACATTGTCTCATTAGAAGAGTATTTTTTGAACATTTGCACTCAAGACCCCTTCCCGCTTTTAAAAATTATGGAGGGCTCCAAAAGAGCTTTTGTTTGTATGGGCAATAGTCACCAATATTTACTGTATTAAAAATTAAAACACATGTATTTCCAGAATATTTACTTATTGAGTCATGTATAATATTTACTTATTGAGTCATGTATAAAGAACAATGTAAAATCTACTAGATATTAACATAAATATTTTTTTCATGATAAAAACACTACTTTTAATAATACAAAATAATACTGAGAAACGACAGTGTTTTAATTTTTTGCAAATATTTTCAATATCTGGCAAATAATTTTGAATTTGTGGACACCTGAGAGGGTCTTGGTGAACTTTAAAATTATGATTGCCAATTTATGCAGACTGTAGTTAAGTAATAGATTAACAGGTAAATGGAATGGTGACCAGGCTATTCAAGAAAGTTAGCCATGATAGCTAAGAAAGGAACTTATCCATCTAAATACCTGAGGCGGTAGAACAGAGGTATCAAACTGACGGCCCGCAGGATGTGTCACGCACAAGCCACACCCACCCTGGCTCCACAAGTGCAAAAAACGTAGCAATACAGGTGATGCAATCGAGTTTGACACCCGTGTTATAGAGACAACCAGGAGAGGAACATCCCCCTCTTACCTGGTTCTACATTTCCTGGAATCATCCAGTTGTTTACTTGAGAATTTCCAGCAGGGATATTCTTCAAAATGTAAAGGTGAATATATAGAATCGTAATTTTGTGTACTTACTGTTGTTGCTCCTTCGTCTGTTGTAAGTTGGAGAGTTGTTGCTTAAGCTGTTTAATCTCCTCTAAAGAAAGGAACCAAGAGTCACAAATTATCTTCTTGTTCTTAAACTAAGTTTATATTGCAGTGACTTTCCTCACTCTCTGCAATTTCTTTTATATTCAAGTATGACTTAAGAGGTTTTTTTTTTTATATTATTGAAAGGTTGGTCTTAAATGCTGCCCCTCCAAACTTTCACACAGCATGCGTGAAGGTACCATAGTGCCCCCTTAAGCATCTGATAAATTGATCCAGTGATTAGAGATCTGAAGAGATGCAATTCAGCTTTGGTGCCCCCAAAGTCAAGTGATACTGGAGCCTCTTCAAATTATTATTATCGAGAAAGAACGGGTAAAAATCAGACTCCAGTTCCATAAAAAAGAGGGGTTTAGCTCTTAGATCATTTCTGATTTTCCAGGTACATCAAGGGCAACCAAAGTAGGGTTCTGACTTTGATTGTCCAAGAAAAGTCAGTCTCCCTAAACAGATTCTATAAGACTGGAGTTCCAAAAAGGAGTTTATTGGAGAAAGGGAAATAAAGGGGAAACAAGTGGAGGCTGCAACTGCACACACACACATAATTCCTATTAAAGTAGAAATCATCAGCTAAGCTAAACTAGTTACTGTGGGGTCCTTGGTGACCTCTAAGCTTGGTTGTTTTCTTGCAGACGTTTCATTACCCAGCTGTGTAACATCATCAGTGCAAATGATGTTATCTAGATGGGTAATGAAACATCTTCAAGAAAACAAGCTCAGAGAGCAACAAAGACCCCACAGTTCAGCCCTGAATTATATTCTCTTCTATTGACACTAGTTACTACTGTATCTCCTTGATTAAGCTCTTATGTTTCACTGGGAGATCATAGGAGAGAGGTTTTGAACCCTGGGCTTGGATGTTCATAGGCCAATGTCTGTCCCTTCCTGTTTTCTGAATGTTTTTATAGGCATAAGCTAAGCAAGCTATAGGGCCTTGCAGTTCAAAGGGACCTCTTAATTCTTTTTTTCATTTGTCACAGTTTTTATTATAATTTAATCTATGAAAATCCAGTCTGACAGGCTCTCATGACCCTCACTAATGGATTAAAATCTGCTTTGCTTCTGCATGCATTCCTACCACTTCTTCAAATAGGGCTGTTCTATATGCTGTTATGGATTTGTTGTGCATCTTGGTGGTATTTTTTGCCAAACATGGTTGTCCCAAGCTTTATTCTCTGTTAGCATTTGTCAAATAGAGCCTCTAGTTTCCATAATTTAGGACACTGCCCTGTCTAAGTAATTGCAGCCTCTTGTTTTCTCTATATTTTCCTTTCTCCAATAAATTCCCTTTTTTTTTTAGATCTGGACATCTGTTTTCATTGGTTTTATAAGACAATTTCTCATTAAAACTTTCTCTACATGCACAGGAGTTACATAGTTACCCCTTCTGTTTCAGGATTGGCACTAATTAAAGTTTCCAAAATTTAAAAAAGTGAAGAATTCTCCAGTTGGACAGACTAAAGAGTGACACACTATCATTATTCTTATTGGAGCACCCTTGGGAGTCGTCACTAAATTTTAAATTATTAATTCCCCACAAAAGTGAGGGAAGTTTCCAACAACTTTTAACAGGGCAGATCAGCAAATTCCCCAAACCTAGGGTGGTAAATCAGCTTCATCACGGTGGTTCTTAAGAGTTTTAAAAATCTAAGCACCTCCCCTTTATAGAGGGTTCTGCAATGGGGCTCAGAAACAGCATAATGGCAGCCCTCCTTATCCAATTGAAACCCCATTCTTCACTTCTAATACTTCCCACATTACGGTACTGTATACAATCTTGCAGAATGTTAAAACTAAAATCAGGGTTTAATGAGGTGAAGGGAAGGTAGCTTGCAGCTACATTTTCTCCATTGTCTAAAATAGTGTTGATGAATTTGGTCTTCGTAAAGACCTCAGCAATGGTGCCAATTCAGGAAATAAAATGATTTCCAGACTAGCAATAGCACTTAAGATTTATATACTGCTTCATAGTGCTTTACATCCCTCTCTAAGCAGTTTACAGGGTCAGCCTATTGCCCCCAACAATCTGGGTCCTCATTATACCGACCTCGGAAGGATGGAAGGAGGAGTCAACCTTGAGCTGGTGAGGATCAAACTCCTCTCAAGTCAGCAGAATTAGCCCGCAATACTACATTCTAACCACTGCAGCCACCTCGGCTGTAATGTCTTTTGTGACTCAAAGTATTGATGAGAATGTCACTTGGGGGCAATCAAATTGTGTTCTAAGCAGGGACAAAGTTTTCCCCATTGTCTTAATTTACTATCTATGAGTTCTCTTCCAAAATTCAATCTATTGTCATCCACCCTGGTCCACCTCACCTTCAGCAACTTTGTTTTTCTCCATTTCTCGCTGGACAGCTTCCTTCACTTGGGATGTGGCATTCTTTTCCAAACTTTTCTAGATGGAGACCAGAAGGAAAGGCATCTGTCAACATTCTTGTGTTGAACCTTCTTTTTAAGACATGACTACTGTCCTAAAGTCTCTTGATGTGTGTCAGAAGAACAGAATCATGCAAGCCACAAGTCCCTGTGACAGTCTATAGGAGCAAATTTGGGAGTTTGCAGAAACAAGAGAGAAACAGCATTGACACTTTTGAACTCATACCAGAAGCCTCAAGATCTTCCCTCTTAAGAGGGGCTTTTTAGGGGCTATAAATCAGTGATGGCAAAAACCCCCCCCCACCGATTCCGCCCTGCCAGCTCTGCCCCCAACCACCCCCTGCCCCGCCCGCTCGCAGCGCCACAGGTCTCCATGGTCCACCGCAGCAGATCGCCCAGGCAGTCCTGCAGTGCCATGGCAGCCACGCCCATATCCCGCATCATCATCTGCACGCTATGGGGCACGAGGGCGGGGGCGACTCTCCTCCAGGGGGGCTGCTGGGGAGGAGGGGGCCACGGGAGGAGGCGGGACTGGGGCGACGGCGCACACCGTGCCATAGGTTCGCCACCACTGCTATAAATCATACTGATGAGAGGAAACCTCATGTAATCAATGGAAACCAGTTGCATAGCGCCTCCTCCTGCTCAGTAGTATGTATAGCACAATGGTAATCCTCTTTTAAATATTTCGAATGTCTTTGGAGATTCTCAATCGTTCAGGTCATGGTTCTCAAAGGTGCGTTTTCCAAAGGCAATTGGACTTCCTTTGTTACTGTTTTTCCTTGAAGACATCTTTAAGGAAAAACAAAGAAAGCCCAGTTGCCTTTTGAAAAAGCACCTTTGAGACAGTCTTAAGTATTTTGATTCTTGGAATTCTAAATGAGAAAATGGCCTGATAGGCTTCTCAGAAAGTTATTACACACTACATGCCTGGCAGAGCTGGTTTTCCAGTGTCTATGAGGATAGCTGAAGATTCACTTCAAAAAAGTGAAATATCTGTTCAGGAAAAGTGTGTGTGTGTGTGTGTGTGTGTGTGTGTGAGACAAGAGGGAATTTTTTCAGATACCAAGAGGCCCAGAGATTGTTTACTTGACCTTCCCTCCCACATATGCTTGTTCTCCCTGCCATGACTGAGTCGGTATAATTAATTTCACCATTGTTTTAAGCCTACTGAAGTTTGTACCAGGAACATTTTGAGAAACTCAAATTGCTCTGCTATATTTTTGGATGTATGCTTGATCTATCTATCTATCTATCTATCTATCTATCTATCTATCTATCTATCTATCTGTCTGTCTGTCTGTCTGTCTGTCTGTCTGTCTGTCTGTCTATCATCTATCTATCTATCTATCTATCTATCTATCTATCTATCTATCTATCTTTCTATCATCTATCTATCTATCTATCTATCTATCTATCTATCTATCTGCTTTCATTTATTTTCTAACATTTCTAGCTTATCTCAATCCTAGAGAATTCATGATGGTGCACAAGGAAACCAAAAGTGAAAGAGAGAGAAAAAATCAAACCATTATAAAAACAACCACTTAGGACAAATAAAATAGGTTTTGTTACCTTGAATGGATTTTTCTCAATCCATTTTACCATTTAAAGTTGTCTAGCAGAGAGCTTCCTTTTGTGGCAGGATTCCCCAATTACTTTCATGGCCTCAAGTCAGAAAAATAAGCTATCATAAACAGATTGAAAGAATCTCAGATTGGAGGTATCTGCTTTGTGCTCAAGAGTTTCCTTTGTGTTGGTTTTTAGATTATTAACTTAGCCTACAACCTAAGTCTACAGTCAACAATTTACAATTGATAGCTGGAGATAAGCATTGTTTATTGTTAAGGTTGATTAGGTTCAGCAGTTAGATTAATGTTACTGCTTTTGTCAAGTGAAATCATTTCCACTTTTTATTTAGTTCTTACAATTTGTGTTATCCTTTTTGCAAATTAACGTAGCCATTAAAAGTGCTTACAATATAGAGACTGAGACAGATGGCAAATACTGGAAACTTATTTGCCAGAAATTTTAATCAGTAAAATCTTAAATATATAATTTCATTATTTTTGTTGTCTTTTTAAAATTCCTGCCAAGAGACTAGTTGCCTGAAATGATTCATCTAAAAGGAGGGCCAGCCATTTTTAAATCAAGTACTGTAATAATCAAAAATAATGTTAAGTTTATTCAATTAATAAAAGTTTCAAACTAGCCTACAGGATTAAAACATCATGGGGGAAAATGCAAATATTATAGGAAACCAAGGAGGAGCAAAAGGAGATATATCAGTTCCAGACAGTCATCATCTATCAGGTTTTCCTGTTTTGACTTTTGCAGTTTTCCTTGCATGGATCCTTGGCCTGATTATGCCTGATTATCAACTCATAAGATAGAAGCCTAGAGGTTAAGCCAGAATTAGATAACCTGGTACCCTCCAGATGTTTTCAACTACAAGCCGTAGCCAGCAGGCCAAACCTAACCACTGATACTGAAAACAATCAGAGAGAACAACTGAAAATTGGAAAACCTACATATACTTAATTTTCCTGATTGGGGGGAGGGCAGGCACACATTATTAGCCTGACCTATTTTATGGGGGAGGGATGTGTGTGTCAAATACAGGGAGATGCGGGGGGGGGGGGNTGGTGGTGGTGGTGGTGGTGGTGGTGGTGGTAGTAGTAGTAGTAGTAGTAGTAGTAGTAGTAGTAGTAGTAGTAGTAGTAGTAGTAGTAGTAATAAAAAGACTGCTTTACCAGTTGTTCCTGACAGGAGCCCCAGTCCTCCCTAGTCTTCTCCAGGCTCCGGTTAGCGACCGCCAGTTCGGCTCGCAGCCCGTCTCTTTCGGCCCTCGCCTCCTCCAGGTCGCTATCCGTCTCCTCCACGCGCTTCCCAAGGAAGTCGAGGCTAGCCCGCATGTGGGAAGTTCGGTTCTGCAGCTCCACTTGGCATTCCTTCACCTGCTTGACCGGATCCGAATAGAGGGACCGCAGGTACAAACTCAGGAAAACGAGGAATACGAGGGAAGGGAGGGCAACGAGCACCCCGCAGCAAATCCTGTATTTCATGCCCGTGTAACAAGTCGCCCCCTTTTTGTCAGCCTGCATTTTCTCCTTCGGGGACAGGGGCCCGCAGACGTCGGGGATCTGTTTACCCATCGGGGAGAAATCCAGCCAAACGCTTCGTCGCCCGCTTCTCTCTCCCGTGCGCGCACAGCACCGTTCGGCGCCAGAGGAGACGCGTCAAAGCCCAGCCGAGGCGGAATCGAAAGTGAAAGAGCCACATTCCGAGGTGGGGGAAAGCGATTGGATGTCGAGGGAGGGGAAAGGGGGAGGTGCGTGGGCGAGAGGGCGATTGTTCCCCCTTGGAGATGGGCCACCTGGTGCTGCTGAGGTTTTGGCCCCGCAATGGCCAATTTCCCCAACCTTGCCCTGGGAGCCGACATATAATAGCATAGTCCAAACGTCTGTGGAGATTCTCAGTCATCCAGGTCATGGTTATCCCACGAGGCAACTGGACTTTCTTGTTTCTCCTTTGAAGACGTTTCGCTTCTCATCCAAGATGCTTCTTCAACTCTCACATCCGCTAAATGTCTATGGAGATTCTCAGGCATCCAGGTCACAGTTGTCCCAAAGATGCTTTTTCACGAGGCAGCCGAAGAAGCTTCTTGGATGAGAAGCGAAACGTCTTCAAAGGAAAAACAAGAAAGTCCAGTTGCCCCATGAAAAAGCATCTTTGGGACAACTAGTCCAAAAGATTCAGGGGCACCACAACTGCGCCTCAGAGCTAAATCTGATTTTCTGGGGGTCAATCCAGAAGTACTGAGCAGACCTATAATTTAGGATGGAAAGTGGGAAGGACAGCTTGAAGGGTCTTTTGGCCACAAGAGTCTGGGCCAAATTTACTCCAAACGTCTTGAAGCAAATGACTTTCCTAAAAATCAAAATCATTTTTTAAAAAAAGTACAAGAAGTAGACACAATATTCTTTTCAAATATAAATTTTTATTATTTTCATCATAAGAAAAAGCACATCACAAATACATCACAGTGTAAAAACCCTACCCCCCACCCCCCACCCCCGGACTTCCCAAACCTAATCCCAGGATACTATTCAACTAAAAGTAAACTAGTATTAATATCCCTAACTCCACAAAATATTATTCTACATAAGTAGGTGAAATATATATAAAAAAAAATAAAAAAAATTATCTAAAAACCTAGATTATATTCCACCATTCTATGCTTATTTTGAATATAAACAATCCATCTTCTCCATATTGATAAAAATTGTTCATTTGAGTGATCCTTCAGATAAGCCGAAATTTTTGCCATTTCAGCAAGATGCGAAACCTTCAATCTCCAGTCCTCCATTGTAGGTAAGACTTTACTCTTCCAATTTTGAGCTATCAACAAACGGGCA